TATTTAATATTAATATTTAATATTTATATTTATATTTAATATTTAATATTTAATATTTAATATTTAATATTTAATATTTAATATTAATATTTAATATTTAATATTTAATATTTAATAATTTAATATTTAATATTTAATATTTAATATTTAATATTTAATATTTAATATTTAATATTTAATATTTTAATATTTAATTTTTAATATTAATATTTAATATTTAATATTTAATATTTAATTATTTAATATTTAATATTTAATATTTAATATTTTAATATTTAATATTTAATATTTAATATTTAATATTTAATATTTAATATTTAATATTTAAATATTTAATATTTAATATTTAATATTTAATATTTAATATTTAATATTTAATATTTAATATTTAATATTTAATATATTATTTAATATTTAATATTTAATATTTAATATTTAATATTTATATTTAATATTTATATTTAATATTTAAATTTTAATATTTAATATTTAATATTTAATATTTAATATTTAATATTTAATATTTAATATTTAATATTTAATATTTAATATTTAATATTTAATATTTAATATTTAATATTTAATATTTAATATTTAATATTTAATATTTAATATTTAATATTTAATATTTAATATTAATATTTAATATTTAATATTTAATATTTAATATTTAATATTTAATATTTAAATATTTAATATTTAATATTTAATATTTAATATTTAATATTTAATATTTAATATTTAATATTTAATATTTAATATTTATTATATTTAATATTTAATATTTAATATTTAATATTTAATATTTAATATTTAATATTTAATATTTAATATTTAATATTTAATATTTAATATTTAATATTTAATATTTAATATTTAATATTTAATATTTAATATTTAATATTTAATATTTAATATTTAATATTTAATATTTAATATTTAATATTTAATATTTAATATTTAATATTTAATATTTAATATTTAATATTTAATATTTAATATTTAATATTTAATATTTAATAATTTAATATTTAATATTTAATATTTAATATTTAATATTTAATATTTAATATTTAATATTATATTTAATATTTAATATTTAATATTTAATATTTAATATTTAATATTTTAATATTTAAATATTTAATATTTAATATTAATATTTAATTATTTAAATATTTAATATTTAATATTTAATATTTAATATTTAATATTTAATATTTAATATTTAATATTTAATATTTAATATTTAATATTTAATATTTAATATTTAATATTTAATATTTAATATTTAATATTTAATATTATATTTAATATTTAATATTTAATATTTAATATTTAATATTTAATATTTAATATTTAATATTTAATATTTAATATTTAATATTTAATATTTAATATTTAATATTTAATATTTAATATTTAATATTTAATATTTAATATTTAATATTTAATATTTAATATTTTAATATTTAATATTTAAATAATTTAATATTTAATATTTATATTTAATATTTAATATTTAATATTTAATATTTAATATTTAATATTTAATATTTAATATTTAATATTTAATATTTAATATTTAATATTAATATTTAATATTTAATATTTAATATTTAATATTTAATATTTAATATTAATATTTAATATTTAATATTTAATATTTAATATTTAATATTTAATATTTAATATTTAATATTTAATATTTAATATTTAAATATTTAATATTTAATATTTAATATTTAATATTTAATATTTAATATTTAATATTTAATATTTAATATTTAATATTAATATTTAAATTTAATATTTAATATTTATATTTAATATTTAATATTTAATATTTAATATTTAATATTTAATATTTAATATTTAATATTAAATAATATTAATATTTAATATTTAATATTTAATATTAATATTTAATATTTAATATTTATATTTAATATTTAATATTTAATATTTAATATTTAATATTTAATATTTAATATTTAACATTTAATATTAATATTTAATATTTAATATTTAATATTTATTATTTAATATTTAATATTTAATATTTAATATTAATATTTAATATTTAATATTTAATAATTAATATTTAATATTTAATATTTAATATTTATATTTAATATTTAATATTTAATATTTAATATTTAATATTTTAATATTTAATATTTAATATTTAATATTTAATATTTAATATTTAATATTTAATATTTAATATTTAATATTTAATTATTTAATATTTAATATTTAATATTTAATATTTAATATTTAATATTTAATATTAATATTAATATTTTAATATTTATTATTTAATATTTAATATTTAATATTTAATATTTAATATTTAATATTTAATATTATATTTATTTTATTTTTATATTTAATATTTAATTTTTATTGCACTCATCTGTCATTTTACTACAGCGTTTTATGATCATGACAAACACAAATATTCAAATCGACGCCAAATATTTAGTCCATTTTCATTTTCTGTGAGATTGTATTACGTTTTAAAAAATATTATTAATGAAAATTGTACATTTACTTTTATTATTAGTGGAAAAAACAACGTTTAAGCTTAGTTATTGTTCATAACACAGATGTTTCTAAAGTTTTCGTTAAATTATTTTTCTTTACATAGTTATAGTACTTTTTCAATGTCAATCGATGCTAATTATTATAGTTATTAAATATTTTGCTATTGAATTACGCTTTTTATTCTTCTGCACTTAGTGTCGCCTAAATAAAACATTTTTTGGTTTTTGCATGAACGTAGAAAAAATATTGTATGCAACTCGTGCAAAAAGTGTTTATTGCCATCGACGTGTTGTCCAACTCGGCCTGACGGCCTCGTTGCGTGCAATAAACGCTTATTTTTTGCACTTGTTGCATAAATAACTGTTTTAATTCAAATACAATTACTAGGAAACTAGAGTTTGCACTTTCTATAAAAATTAACCTTTTTTTTATTCTTTTTTTTGTAATTAATATACGTCGATTCAGAAAAATATGCAGAGGATGGTTTTATGGAAATACTATAACACTCCTTAACTTTTATTAAAACAATATTTGGCACATATAATATCACATTTAATAAACATTTGAAATAAATAAAGAACGTTTAAGGTAGTTCACACGCGATAGGCGTACGCAAAAATATCGCCTAATGGTGAATACCAAAAGTTCGGGATTCTCAATGCTAAAAATTTTTATTTTTGTAAGAGACTGTACACAATACATGTAAGCTTATACAGGGTGAGTCGGGAGGAGCGCACCAAACTCTAGGAGTATATTATACACGTGAAAATAATGTAAAAAAACTCATATGTTCTTACCCAATTTTCATTTGTTTTCAAGTTATGGCGTAATTAAAAATGTTCATCGAGCTTTCCACTTCTGAATTTTAACATTATCAAAGTATGCCATATGTTCAAGGCTCAAAGGCATTTGATAATTCTGACGTTTTGATGAACTGTCAGTGTACAGTGAACAGTAACTGAACGTTTAATTTCGAATTTATGTGATTGTTAGTATTGCAAAACGCTCTTCGTGGACGAAGCAGAAAATGTTTAGAAGTCAATGGCGGTATTTTTGAACATTTATTGAAAGAACGCTATGATTAAGAGAATTTTTATGTGTAAATTTGTTTATTTGTTAATATGCTATAACTTGAAAACAAATGAAAATCGGATAAGAACATATGAGTTTTTTTACATTATTTTCACGTGTATAATATACTCCTAGAGTTTGGTGCGCTCCTCCCGACTCACCCTGTATATACGGATACAGTTATTATTTCAAATAAAATCAATCCGGCAACGTCGCAAATATATGAATGGTGGGCTATCAAGTGAGTGTCTATGCCTATAGAAATTTGCGACTTTCTCATACTAATTTTAAGGATTTGTTTTGGTTCAAACGGAACCCTCGATTCCAGTTCTCAAATACATTGGACGAATTAATTTTTCAAGAACACGTCGCGAGGATATAACAACCTCTTAGCTGATCGAGTGTAATTCAGTGATTTTGAACTAGTTTCCGAAATAACCAAAACAAGCCTAAAGAAATCTAACACATTTGAGTTACCGCGCGTCAAGTGTAGCGATTGCAATGTTGCCAAGTTGTAATCATTGTACCTCACTATACGTCGACTGCTTTAAAAATATTTTTATTTTAAAAATTTATATCTTTTTACCAAAACGGAAAAAAATCAGCGTTTTTTTTTTAGAAAATTTTATAACTTCTTGATTTACATTAAACTAAAAATAGTAAGATCCGTTTTCGAGATATCTTGAATTAAGGAGGTCCTTTCGCCACCAATGTTAAATAAAAAATATTAGATTATGACTAAAATTAATTTTTTTTCTAATAGTAGATGTCCTTATTTATCTAATAGTGAACTTTTAACTATACCTTACCGTGCAAATTTTTGAGAATTTTTTTTTAAAAATGTGTGTGTTTGTACAGTGTCTTACGAGAAAGTAAGACTTTAACAACAATTTTCGAATTATAATTAATTTTACTATTATTTATTGATTAGATGGAGTAGAAAAAAACTAAAAATAAGGTTTTTGAAATATTTAGGTTTTGTTTTTTACAATAAAATATATAGGTTACCGTGGAATTTATTGAGAAATTAATATTAAAAAATCACAAAAAATTTTCAACTAGGTTACTTCAAATTTTTTTTTAATATTAATTTCTCAATAAATTCCAAGGTAACCTATATATTTTATTGTAAAAAACAAAACCTAAATATTTCAAAAACCCTATTTTTATTTTTTTTCTACTCAATCTAATCAATAAATAATAATATAATTCGAGAATTGTTGTTGAGGTCTTATTTTCTCGTAAGACACTGTACAAATACTCACATTAAAAAAAAAAATTCTCAAAAATTTGCACGGTAAGGTATAGTTAAAAGTTCAACATTAGATAAATAAGGACTTCAACTATAAAAAAAAAAAAAAAAATTAGTCATAATCTAATATTTTTTATTTAACATTGGTGGCGAAAGGACCTCCTTTTAAATGCATTGCTTGTGTACATGACAGGCTTCAAGAGTGTTAATTATGCACATGTTGATTGTTAATATCTCGTTTCACGGACGGTCACAAATTAAATTATTTTTGTTAAGTAAAAGACACTTTCATTAACCTTATATTTCAATTTTATTGAATTCTTGAGAAAATCCGTTTTACGAGTGAACTACCTTAAAAGTTTATAATCATTATAAAACTGATTCACCATATATAAAACACAAATTAAAAATTCTTAGAATAATTTTTGAGCTAACATCGTTACATAATATACAGGGTGTCCCAAAATCCCGTGTACATAGAGCTACTGCATGTTGGTGAGATCAAAATAAGTTGACTGAGCTAAAATTACTTATATCACAAAGTGCTTCGTTTGCCTGCGAGGAAGCTTCAAAGTTGCAAGAATATGTTCCAATTTTTTTTTAATAACTCAAAAACGCTTCGTTCGATTTTTATAAAATTTTAATTAAAGAGCCATTGTTCGAAGCAAAAATTATACTAACTGAAATCATGGAAGGGTAAAAACCACATTAATCCTACCATAAATAATATCGTTTTTTTTTTTCGAAGGCCGCCTCTGTTCCCTCAACATGTATCTCTCATGATAATTGAGTAAAAAATTGTGTATGGATGGACTGATGGTTAGTAACTTAAAATTTTCAAGAAAACTCAGTTGGCGGTTATAACTACCGCCACCCGAACACTATCGATTTTAACGTTATTACAATAAAAAAATCTTTAATAGGCATAGGTATCTACTAAAAAATAACAATTCAAAGAGAAGAATAAATTGATTAACAATAAATGTTCATGCTGATTTCTATTTGGTGCAAGAAATTGAAGTCTACTCTTTTTAAAATGCCAAGATCATTTCGCATAGAGTTCACAACATTTTGAATCCTACCCCATAATTGTTCAATGTTGTCGATAGGAACTTCATACACCAACATACAAGTAGCTCTATGTACAAGGAATTTTGGGATACCCCGTATTCTTTGCGGTTTTTTATTTCAGTCAAGGTCTCGAGAATTAACTACTAGAACTAATCTTTGTCAGCGTGGTTAAAAACATATAAAAACCGATTAATTTTAGAACTGTTTGAGAAATTTTTTTGTCATTATCGATTTTTTGACAGAATTTATCTTTCATAGTTTTCATCATTTTCAATGTAGTTTTGTAGAAACAATTTATTTGACATTAAATATCACATTCGTGTTTCTAGATTTTTCAAAATCGAGTTTTCTTTTTATGATGATGTCAACTTCAATAGTCATTGATTCAGTACCTAAGTGGTAAAACTTTTTTTTGGGCCGAAATTAAAATAAAATATACATTTTAATTTTAAATGTAAATAAACCATTATATATAATAATTTCAAAACAAGAGCTTTTTTTACAAATATATTTAAAATATTGCCTTCCTACTGTATTTACTTACTTCGGATTTTGACAAACAAACTATTAAAATCTTTACAAGATTTAGTAAGTAATTTTCAACATACGTTAAACTCACCGGAAATAATTCACGTCTGATACACCAAAATCAACAAAAAAGTAGCCGATAACAATAAAAAAACAGAAGAACACGACGTATCCGTGTCCGATTAAAAATCCCTATAAAACGACGTCATTAAAATCAAATATGTTGGTGGAGGTCATTTTCGAAATCGTCTTCTAGCAAAGGTGGAGGTATGGATTTCATGTCAAAAGCGTCTACAATTTCAAATCGATCATCGTCTTCACGTTCCATTCTCATGATATCGGATCCAGATTGTGAATCGTCCGGATAGTAACCTTCTTCCAACGTTTCAGCATAATGCATCACAGAATTATCTTCAGCTAGACTTCTTTCATACTGAAAGTTAGAAGCCATTTCTTCCATATTTCTATTTCTAATATACTCACTATACTCTGCAAGTCCTGCTTCATGCTCTACAAAATAATATTCATCAACATTTTGTTGTTCTTTTTCCAATCTAGCTCTACGCTGATTCTGTAATTGCCTTTTCCTTCTATAACCTCTTCTATCTCTTTCTGATTTACTTTTAGGTGACTCAACGCTGCTGGTTGAATCATTCTCACTTGGTGGACTCTTGGCTTGACATACATTTTTAGAAACCGGTTTCCTATGTGTTCTTATCTGTGGTACTGTCGCTGTTTTATAAGCAGGCACTGGACTAGTACTAGCTAAAGGTGTTGACTCTGAACTTAAACTACTGGAATAATATGGTGAACATTTAGATAACTTTAAAGGAACTTTTATAGGTCGTTCAGTACTTTTACTTGAAGGTAGATGTTTTTGCATGTACTTCTGTTTATCTTTATCGTAACGTTGAGTATGAACGGTTCGTTGTTCAACAGAACTACTTGATTTATCAGTATCTGAGAAGTTCGGAAGAATCATTATTGGTCGTTCAGTGGATTTAGAATATTTCGTTTCAATTCGAGTTGGTAAAGTTGAAAGTAAAGCGAAATCTTCTGAAGGTATGTTTTTAGGACTTGGCACTCCTTTAGGATCTGAGGATAATGAAAACTCTTCAATATCGATGCTAGAACCTAACCTAGTAGGTGTTCGTTCAGACAAAACTTGTGGAAAGAATGGTTTTGTATCAGAACTTGACCAGTCAGATATATTCGATATACGGTCAGTTAGAGTACTATCTCCTGTTGAAGTAGAAGATAACTTCTGAAAGGCTAAACCAGAGGTTTGTTGCACTTTTAAAGTACTGCTTGTATTACTCGTTGACCATTCTGATATAGAATGTGCTATATCAGTTAAAGAATTTTCATCACTTTTTACACCTGAACTACTTTTAGTACCACTATTACTGCTCAAGTTCTGAAACTTAACTGTATTGGTACTATTAGACCATTCAGAAAGACTTAATGCAATCGAAGTATCCTCAGAATGGGAACTATGGGTACACTTACTAGGTTTTAAAGCAAATCTAACAGTGCCATCCTCTAAATTCGTTCCCAAAGAGCTAGTACAATCCTCTTCGGAATAAGATCCATGCGAACCTTTAGAACATTTTCTCTCGCTCTTATGAGAATAAGAAGAGTCATCAGAAGCAGTACTTCTTCGCATTGCCGTAGGAGGTCTTAATTCGTATTTACTATTATCCGTTACGTCTACAAAAACATCGTCATTAAGATTAGAAATGTTTAAATCTTCGTCCGAATTAGATCCTTGAGATTTTTTCTCCAAAACGATTTTCACTCCGCTTGCTCCTACACTTAAGCTCTCAGAAATGCTCTCACTAACGTTTTCACAAGCTACATTTTCGTACGTATGAGTTTTCTCAGTATCAACATCAATAGTTTTATTATCGTTGTCAGAATTCGAATCATTGTCATAAGTACTGATTGTACTAGAATCTACGACAACTTTATAAGCTTCCTGTGGAGGTGTGATATAGTAAGTTTCTACATTTCCTATAACAGGAGGTTCCACAACACTAGAAGGAGGACTTGGCCACTGCTCAGAATCTTGACTTTTCATAGATCCTTTCAGTCCAAATGTTTTTGGAATACTTTTAATAGGTGGTTTAAATACTTGAGTTGTTTGTTGAGATGTGTCACTACTAGGAAATTCGTGCATGGCTAGAAGTTTTTGACCTTGGTGTGGAATTTCTGGTAGAGGCCAATCTTCGCTTTCTTGACTACTAGATCTGATTCTTTCATCTCTAGCTTCTGGTTCAAAGCATTCTTCATCAATAATTGTGTCATCTGATCCTTGTCTTCTTAATCTTAAACCCCTTTCGGAAGTTATTATTTCGATATCGTCCATTGATAATTCGGCCATTTCGGCCGACGTTCGTCTATCATCAGAAATCTGCCTTTGTAACAAATTAGCTATGTGAGGTAAAGGTTCTTGCTTATCACTAGGTTTACTTAAATCGCTTAGTTTATCCTCTTCTTCTTTAGATTCGTTATTTGTAGGCGTTTTTTTGTCATTTTCAGAGAGCCTAGCATGACTAGGTGATTCAGAACTAATGCTTACTTGTGGGTTACTAGATGCCATAGATTCATCATTTAAACTGTCACTTTGAGTGCTAGCTTTAGTAGAATCATCATCTACACTAGATTTTTCAGAGTTTGTGCTTCTTTCTGATATTCTAGAAAGAGTTCTGGAAATATACCCACCACCTGCATATGCTCCTAATATATCAGATCCTCCTAAACTTAAACCAGAAAGAGAATATCCGAAATGTGTTGGAAAGTTAGCTAAATCTTCAGGAAGTTCAGTATCATCTTTGCCATTTGTAACGTCTGGGCCTTGCTTAAAATAAACATCTGATATTGTTGAACATTCACCTGTAGTTTCTTTACATATAAAGTATTCTTGTTTCTCAAAATCTTGGTCAGGGGGAAGCAGATTGTCATCAAAACTTTCGGAACCAGAGCTATCCAATGGAAAAGCTTTCCAAGTTGAACTGAGTCCTTTAGGAATTTCGTTGCTATTTTTCACTCTGCACGCTGCACCTATACTTCCAGAACTAGATTCTGTATCTATGGAATTCTTAGATTCTGTAGAAAGTCTGTCGGAAGAAAATAATGCAGGTTTTTCAAACTTGTGTTTTCTTTTGTCTAACGAAAAATCGTCTACAGAAGAAGCAGTACTCTTATCTGCAGAAGATAATTTTTTGGACAATTTTTTGTGTAACCGTTGACTTAATTCAGAGTCATTAGACCACTTTTCCTCAAATGGATATGGTTTTTTAATAGAAGAAATATCTAGGTCTTCTTTTTGAGATTCTTGAATAGGCGTTAAGTCTTTTGGTATATCAACAGTTTCATCAGAGCTTGAATCATCTAACTTAAGAGAGGAAGATCCTTCATCTATGGTAAAAGCTCTACCTAATACGCAAATTCTTGGACTCCTTGGGCTTCTTGGGCCTTCGCGTTCCGGTGAACCTTTATCAAGTAAATCTTTTGTGGTAAACATTTCTATATGCTGGCTTAATCCGATTGTTTTCCCTATAGCACAGCTTGTACTGGATTCGTCAGTTTCTTTAACCTCTTTTCCGGGTGACAAGTCTTTTTCTCCACTAGTCCAAGAACCAGTATCACTAGATTTTGATTGGTCAGAACTTCTCTTCAACATATCAAGCTTAGACTTATTAGTTGCTGTCAGTAAATATATATTCTCTGGAGTGCGTAATTCTTTTTCAATATCTAGAGGTTTTTCGGGAGATTCTAGAGTGACATTGTCATAATCTAAGGATTCCACAGTGTCTATGTATTCTTCACATTCTACCGTTACCCAAGACCCTGTGTCCTCTGATTTACTCCTATCGATGCTCAATTTATGCAATGTATCCTTTTGATCATCCGATAATAAAAGATTTTTATCAATTTCTCCTTTTAATTCACTAACTTCCGTTAACGATTCCTCTTCACTAGTAATTTTGATGTTGCTTTCTAGAGCTATTATTTCCTCTCTTCTCTTTTTCTCTAATTTACTCCTTAAAAATGTACTATCTGTATTAGACGCCTTCTGCATCTCAACAATTAATTGTGCGTCTTTTTCGGATTTGTATGAAGAATCTCCTGTAGATTCATCTATATATCGAATATCTAATGATTCCCCTAGACTAATTTTTTCTATACTTTGAGAATCAGAGGAACTCTTAGTATCCGTTTTACTTAAGTCTGGTGGTTTAGGGGAAGTGCGATTCTCAAAAAAATCATCTGACTTTTGGATCACTTCGATATTCTGTAATTTTTCATTTTGTTCTTCAACTGATAACCATACATCTAAGGTTGTACCTTTTAAAATAATTGTATCTTGTCCATCTTCAACTAGAGCTTGATGAACATCTGCTTTTACTGTTTCTTTAATAACTTCCTCTTGAGGTGAGGTTTCTTCTAAGTCCTTGGCTTGGATGTTTCTTATTGTTTCAGGTTTAAAATCAAATTCGTTAACAGATTGATCTCCATCTTGCCGGCGATTTTCTAAGTCTAAGCTTTTTCCTAAACGTGATACATTCTTGCTATTATCATCAGGAACATTAAGGTCTAAGCTTTTCGTTAATTTTTCGCCCATTTTTTTGTCCAACTTTTTAGGAGATTTTGTTATTATTATAGCCTCTTCTAGACTGACATTAGGTTCAATTGTGTTTATACTAATTTCTAATTTACCATGACGCTCTCTGACCATCTCTTCAACTTGTGGAAAAACGGGTAAAACATCTTTAATAGGACTTTTTAAGGTTTTTGTTTGTTGTATAGCTATTTCATATAACATTTGTTGTTTTTCGATTCTCTTTGCAATGTCAGGTTCGGAGTCTTCTTGAGATTTGGTTCGTTCCTTACTACTTGCTCTCTTTAATTCTAATTTCTCAAATGATCTAGCTTTTTCTTTTGGTGTGCTGCTTTCTAGTTCTTGACTTTTGGTTCGCTTAATTTCTACTAGAGACAAAGACAAACATTTTTGTGGAGATTCTTTTAGTTTTTCTTCTTTATTTAACCCCTCGGTAGAAGAACCTTTTTGAACAATTGTTTTTTTTGTACTTGATTCGCTAGTACCCTTAGCTTTAGTAGGAATCGGTTTAGGTGCGGTTTTTAGTGGATGTTTCGATTTTGTAAGCTTTTGGATGTGTTTTGTATGTAAAGTAGCTCTACTAGATTTCTTTTTATTAATTACATCAGGAACTATTTGGTCATGTTCTTTATCGTTAATAGAAGAAAGTTCTTTAGGAATATCTTTATCTTTGGTATTAACATCATTTTTGACAGCTTCACTAATAACCTTCGGAAGAGGTTTTTCAGGTCTAGGAATGTCTGGTAAAGGTTTATTTGGAGCCTGATCTAGATTGTCCTCTGATAGTAGTAATGTATTTTTTATTGGTCTACCATCAGTATCTGAGTTTTCTTCAGTACTCTTGTCGCTTGCCAAATAGTTTTCAACACCACTGTCTTTGTCTGTCATTTGCTGGTCTTCTTCAGCTACTGTGTCATCCTTGCTAGAAAATGCGTTAAGAGGTGGTAATCTGTTGACAGCTATAACAGGTGCGTCTAGACTTTTAGCCCTTCTTCCAGCTATTGGCGATTCTAAAGCTTGTTGTTTTTGAAGTAGAGAGAAAGCAGAACCTTCAGATAAATTTAATCTGGCATGGGCAAATAGTAATGGGCTGTTTCCCGGTTTTCTTATACTAGGTGATGGTATTTCAGTTATTCTCGTTTTGGAAGGCACTCTTAAATTCTTAATATCATTCTCTATTTCAGCTTGCAATATTTGCTTTTCTCTTTCCCTTATACGGTTGCCATCTATTGTAGTTAGTTCTTTATCAGTAGAGTAATCCTCTTTTAGAGTTTCATCTAAAGATTTATCGCCGTCTTCTTTATCATTTTCGTCAACCGTTCTTAATGGTTCTGGTAACGGATCAGTAAAAACTGGTTGAAGATCAGTTATCTTTACATTAAAGTCATCTTCAGAACTAGGTATCGAAAAAGATCTTTCAGAAATCCTACGTAACTCTGTAGGGATGGCATCAAGACCATTTTCGTTTTTATTCTCCTTTTTCTTTCTAGTCGTAGGTGGTGATCCTTCTACTTCTGTAGAAGACATGGTGTATTGAAGATACTTTCGCTCAGATTCAAATTTCAATATGGATTCCATTTCTTTTCTCATTTGGGGTGGAGAAAATTCAACTCTGGTAGGAGTAGCTTCTGCGCTGCCAAATACATCATCAGAATCTAAACTCTCATCGTCAGAACTGAAAGAAGTAATTCTAACTTTAGTTTTATTAGTTTTTCCTCCTTTTTTGCCAGGTTGCATCCTGGGTTTTATAATTCTCTTTGGCTTAATATCCGTTTTTATTTTAGTTTTCGGTTTTTCTGATTCTTTTTTTACTTCAGGTTGAGTAACAGGATTTTCCTCAACCTTTACTTCATTCTTAACTTGTACTTTTTCCACTTGTGTTGATATAGACTTTTTGTGGGGGTGTAAACTTTCTGTTTTAGAACTAGTAGGCGAGTCACTTTCGATTTGACTAAGTTTGGAATTTAATGCTTCTAATAAAACAGGATCTATATGAGTAATATCTCGTTTAGGACTAGACAGATGTTGGACAGGTACTTGGGTTTTATCAACTTCTAATGTAACGGGATCAATTTTTGATAAATCGATGTTCTGAGTAAACAAAAACGGCAATTCTGACGCTTCAACCTTGGCTTTAGTATGCGATTTTTTGGTATCTTCCGTCATTGGTACTTCTTGGATATCAATGGAAGCTTTCCTAGTTTGGTCGACTTTGGTTAGTTCTTCTTTCCGATCAGAACCGTTGATTACGTGACGTTTGTGTAAAACGTAAGTAAGATCCTCATCTTTTGGTGGTAGATTTACCAAATCCGATTGAGTTTTAGCACCCAAAATCTCAAATTGACTTTTTGGCACTTCAAACTTAGTTTTCAAGCCTTCTCCATCTCTCTTTATAATATCAAAGTGGCCAAATTCAGCAGTAGGCATTTCAAAATGAGTACCTCTGTACTTCATTATAGGTGGAGCACTGGGTATTTGTTTGTAGAGATAATCTTCATCGCTAGATTCTGCTGGAGTTAAATCAATGGATTTTTGGTGCATTAGTAGCAATCTTCTCGAGTTGAAATTAAGTCTCTGCCTAGCTAAAGAATTGGGATCAGATTTTGTACGTTCTATAGGTTGATGTAATGGCAGATCGTGTACAATTCTTGGTTCTATTTCCATAAATATATCATGATAAGTTTTCTTTTCTTCGATTATCTGCTTATTATCGATATTAGAAACAATACTAAAATTTTCCAAAGGACAAACGTCAGAGTCTAGACTGTCTTGAAGTGACTGAATTTTCTCTTCATCAAAACTAAAAATATTACTCTCTGATTCAATTGATCTTTGTGTACTAGGATGATGAGCCGGCCAGGTACGTTGATCACTATCATGCCAAAAAGATGTTGACCTTTGACGGTCAGTGTCTAGCGTTTGCGATCTGTAGTTGTGTGAGGATTTTTGAGTTCTAGGAACTGTATTCTGTTCCAAATTTGCTAGAAGACGATTTATTTTTATGTTCTGTTCAGTTTCTACATTTTGTAGACTAATGGAGTGAACATGGACAAAATTTCGATGAACCTCCATATTGTCTCGAGGTTGAAATTTTTGTATACCATAGTTTCTTTCGAAAGTAATTTTGCGATCAAAAGATTGGTAAGGCATATGATCCACAAATCTAGAGGGAGCGTCGTAGTATTCACTTTTGGATTCGACACTTGAGTTTCTAGAGTCAACAAAACCGTTTCTAGAATCGATTGTTCCGACGCTGCGGTTTTTGTAAACGGGTCGTTTAGATTCGTAGTCAGATTTAGATTCCCGACTGGATGTGCGAGAACCGATACTACGTTTTTTAAGACTTTCGCGACTTGACTTTGAGTTTTTAAATTCTACACTGGAGTTTCTTGGTACTTGTTTATAATGTTTGTAGTAATTTCCGTCGGATTTTCGAGGAATTATTTCTCTTGGGAAGTCTCTGGGATCTTCTATCAGGAAAATATGTTCATGAACATCTGAGCTACTCTTACATTTGTGTCTTCTCTCGTATTCAGATTCGCTGTCTGATGGTAAGTAATTTCCTGAATCTAAACTACAGCTTCTAGTATTGAAAGGTTTGCGCTTTTTGTATTTGTATTCGCCCGAAGTACTGCATTCGTCATCGGATTTTTCTATAAGCTCATAACTATCATGGGATAAGTCGTCTTGCGAGTCACGCAGATCATAGTTACCGGGATCTTCGACCGATTCTTGGGAGTATGAAGTCGTTCCGGGGTAGCTACTGGAATAGACCTTTTCATCAGGCACCATTATGTCTTGATGTATCTCTAAGCTGCTATCTCGCGAACTAGCACTATAAATAGGTTGGTCATCATAGCGAGTTATCGGGGACTCTAGTTTGCGCTCTTCAAAACTAATTACAGCTTTTTCGAGGAGTTTCGGGGGTTGAGATCTACATTTTGCTTGACCTGTTTCCTCAAAACTGAAATCGTAGAGGTCTTTACAGCTAGCGCTACGACGCCAAATTTGACGCTTGGGATGGGCAGTAACTGAGCGATAAGTATATTCGGGGACAATTTCGGCATCCTGACCGAGATCGCTCTGTGATTGGGTCTGCGAGGGGTAGTTGTTAGCAAAGTTATAATTAGAGGGCATCTGGATAATAATGGGGATGCGAGTGGTACCTGTATCGGCCCTGTGAACAGCTACGCGAACGGCGAGAGGCGAGCTGGTAATAGTGGGCTTCATGGGGCTCGTGGTTGCAGAGTCCTCTGGAGATGACGCCGGTTGTGTCTTCTGAAGAGGAGGCGAGGGCGGCGAGCTCATCGTCTGAATGGGTGGTTGTGTGGTAGGCCTGGTGTCTGGGACCGAGCTCCAGGATGTAGCTATGGCGTGGTGGCGAGAGACTGACTTCATCGTCGGAGAACCCGGCCGTCCCCGTACATGTGGCTCCATCGAACCCAGAGACGCCGAGAGTTTGGACACTTCCACTGTGGATAACACACATAATTTTTTTCCATATTTAAAAAAATTTCATGCAAATAAAATTCTTAAATATACAAACTCAATTTTTTAATTAATTCAAATTTCATCAGCTCATAAAAAGAAAACATTTGACACATTCACAAAAGTATCTTTTTTTTTATTAAAAATATAAATATTCTCAAATATTAAATTTCATATTCACTCAAAATGAAAATTATCACCCTTTTAAGTATTTTACTGTATGTTACCCAATTCCAAAAAATCGATCAAAATCGTTTTGAATGTTACAAGTAACAAAACAATAATATTGTATGCTGAAATTCGCATAAGGATTAAAGTGGACTAAGTACAATAGTAATTAATTGATAATATTTTGGATATTTTGCCAAAACATGATCAAGAAACTTTTTTTGCAGTCTTTGAAATTCGTCAAAATATTACCTATACGTATTTGCTGGAAACAATGAAGAATCATATTTTATCTAATGCGAATTTATATAATATACCTTCAAGAAATATTATACAGGGTTTTCATTAATGTAATACGAATATTTAAGAGTGTAAATCTGCATGAAAAATTTGTGATAGTTTGCTTTATAAACTATGGAAACTTTAAAAATGAACGGAGTCTTTGCCGGATAATCAAAAACACGAATATTCCATAAACTTCGTTTTTAATTTTTTAATAATTTATTTGGACATATATTTTTGTCAAAAGAACAAAAGAAACGTGATGCATGCGACAAAAACATGAGTTTTGATATTTGTATATAATGAAAGAACATAGGTACATTGAACATCAATTGTACAATACACCACATTATATTCATATATCTGGTTCAAAATAAATTTAGTGACGTATTTTTTGATGGGTCATGATCTGGAAAATCAAAATATTTTGAAAAAAGAAATGTCAGACAGAAATAAAAAAAAAATTTGAAGGGTTTGTCAGCTGGATTTGTAAAGAAAAGAAAGGTTTTTGTATTAAAAGGTATGCTGGCTTATTGAATGTAAATCTGTAGGAGATAATTTAAAAAAAAAAGGAACAAGTTAAAATTAATTTCACATTATCGAAGAAAAAAAGAGCAGATAGCAGAGTAAGGGTAGAATCAGTTAAAATAAGTTGGTATAGGAGAAACAAGCCAAGGTGTGAGACCAGAAGGTCGGCAAAAAAAGAAAATCTTAGAATATATATATTGTTTTGATATATTTGAATTGGGGCCACTAACTTTTTTGTTGTAATTATTTTACTTTTACTTTGCAACCTCAATCCGATGTTTTATTATTTAATTTTTATTTTGTGATTGTAAATGTTTTAAATCTCAGGGTTCATTCGTTTCGGGTTCTTTCGTGGGTTCTGAGTAAGTTTCTACGAAACTTAGGAAATCAGTCGACACATAATACTTACATATATATTATATTTTATCAAATAAATTTTTTTTATATAATAAACTGAATACGTGATGTTATATATTTTGTGTATACCTAGTTACGTGATATAATAGTATTATTATTCACCCAAAAGAATCTAGCATTTAACCACTTACCTATGATTTTGGTAAAAATATCTTAATTCTTTCATCTGGCCCTTGGACTATATTTTGTTGACGTACATTTGTAACCTATTTAAATTATACCTAGAGAAACAGAGAAAGAAACACCATACATTTCATTTATAATGTAACTATTTATTACATATTGTGAATAAATTAAAACACATTATTTGTATTTGTTTAAATAAATCTAAATCCTAATATCCTAAAGAAATGACATTCCATGGAGGAACAATTTGACATTCATTCTGGACCATTCATGCAAAAAAAAAATTAGAATTCTATACAAATTTATGTTTTATAGATTTCTTCTTAAAATAGAAATACACATTTAGTATATATATATATATATATATTAATATTTTTTGTACATTTTATAGTATCAAAATTAAACGTAAGCCCATCAAATGTTCAGTAAGTAACCAGCGTTCATCAATTTAAAATGCCACACGGATAAAGCGCGCACGGATAATCGGGGTTCTACTGTAATTTTTATTTGGGAATAAACCACTGGCGTGCCATTTGTATCTTCAAAAATATTAAGGCTAATGCCCGCACGCACGCCAGTGTTAAAACTGAAAATTACTAAAATATCTCAAGCGGTTAAGAAAATATTAATGAATTTTCCTTTTTTTTTCCAAAATTTTTGGACCATAGTTTATAAAGCAAACTATCATTATTTTTTCATGTAGATTAACAACTTTAAATATTCGCATATCATTAAGGAACACACTGTATATATTTTTTAGATAAAATGGATTATATTTTATTTCCATTGGTTTCGGGGTGTAAGTGTAAATATTGTAAACAAATGAAAAAGAGGATAATAATAGAGCAGCGCTGAACATTGCTAATAAGTTTAAACAAGCTTATAGCGAGAGCAACTCAAACCATGCTATCCAGTAAAATATTGATGAACACATAATCTGTAGTACATATACAGTGCTTATTATTTTGTATTAGGCATAGCCGTGCTTTCACAGTGAACATGTGGCAACTACGATCGCTATACACTCTGGTTTTGTCACTGATATTCGGTTCGGCTAATATCCCATCACCATATCTTCTTATTCTAGTCGACGACTGGCTGTTGCCCTGTTGCCATTTTATTAACTTATATACTAGTCGTATGCCTAACACGAAAAAATAAGTACTATAAAAGTACTATATACCCTGTGTCCCGAAATTAAATGGTCATATTTTAACAGCGTAATCTACATCATAAAACAGGAGTAAAAGTTCATATAAACATAGGTCCGAAAACGTTTATTTTCCGAGATACAGGGCGTTAAAAGTGAAGTCCTGATGACACATTTTCGTAAATATTTTCTAAATGTTTAAAGATAACTAAGTGAAATTTTGTACAAATGCTTATCTTTTTACGCTCTTGATCATCTTAATAGGTAGGTAAATTAGGGGGGGCTTAGGGTAAAATTGCCCTAACTTTTTTCTTGACAATTTTTAACATTTTTGACTATAAAATTTGGAAAACCAATGTTTTCTTTATAATAAAGCTACTTGTGTTGCATCTCGCTAGGACGCACCATTTTCAAGAGAAAAGCATTTGAAAATTTCATGATAAGTTGATGTTATCTTATTCGAAAGTGTAAACAATAATTAGTAGGCCTGTGGAATCAGAAATTTTATTTTTTTTTAACTTTGGAAAACCGATGACTAAAGAAATTTTAGAAAATATTTACAAAAATGTGCTATCAGGACTTAACTTGTAACACCCTGTATCTCGAAAAAGAAACGTTTTCGGGACTATGTTTATATGAACTTTTACTCCTATTTTAGGATGTAGATTACGCTGTTAAAATATGACCGTCTAATTTTGGGTCACCCTGTATATATAGGGTGTAACAAAAAGGTAAGTCATAAATGGAACCACATATTCTGGGGTCAAAAATAACTCGATTGAACATAACTTACCTTAATGGAAATGTGCACACAAAAAAATTACAGCCCTTGGTAAGTAAAATCGATTTTTCCCAATATTTCATGAACATTTTGTAATGAAAATGGATACATGGCTTTCTTATCGTAAGAGCATCTTTTTTATATAAAACCACGAAATCTGTACAGCCCATAAAAATTTTAGGAGAATTTTGACCCCCTAAAACCCCCCAAACTTTCCTCTGCGTTACAATCAAATTAATATTGTGACACCATTGACTTAATACATCATGTTTGATTTTTTTTTATATCCATTTTCATTACAAAATGTTAAACAGTTCATGAAATATTGGAAAAAATCGATTTTCATTTTGTACTTTTCAAGGGCTGTAACTTTTTTTGTGTGAATATTTGCATGAAGGTAAGTTATGTTCAATCGAGTTATTTTTGACTCCAGAATATGTGGTTCCATTCATGACCTACCTTTTTGTTACACCCTACAAGCAGTATTGTAAAAGCCGGTGTAAAACATGCAATTTTTAAAAAGGTTAATTTTTAGGCTGATTTATCATTTAATTAATTTTGGCTCGAACGTCTCCTTATAGATCACAAATTATTTTTTTATCATTTTTTTAACATTGGTATATTTCTAACTAAGGTCCAAATTTCGACGCTGGTGAGCAATGCTTTAACTGAACCACTTGATTTTCAAGAGTAAAAGATACTAGGGTTATTTTTCAAGATATGGAATATTTTACTACGTTAAGCAACAATGAGTGGTACCTGAGGTGGTACCATTTAAACGCTCACCAGTTGGCAAAACTGAGACATGAGGTTCGCCAGACAAGCTGTGAAAAAGCGTTATAATCAAATTTATTCAGATATACAAATATAAAATTGCAACTTTTGACATTTATGAAGAGAACCGACGTATAGTTATTAAATTTCCTTTAAAATAATAGATGTTTTTCTTACCCATAGTTCTTTAAATACATAATTTTAACAAAAGTATCATTTTAACACCTTTTTTTAAATATATATACACGGTGGCCAGACGAAAACGTACCAGAGCCATGATCAACAACTGTGTCAACATTATAGATAAACGCTCGAACCTGTTAATTTTTTATTAAAATGGAAAAGCTTTCTCTCATATCTTCAACTGTCATACGTCATTTGCTGCTTTCCTCACCGTTCCTCTAACCAATAAAATTTAAGTAGGGAAAGTACTAAGTTCGACAATGTAGTGAATTATATGCACTGCATAAGGCGGATTTAAATCAGTGTCACGTGTGGTTCTTACGTCATTATAATGACATTCTATTAATCTGATTAAACATTTTTGGTTTATATTGACACTAACTTGCCAATGCACATGACACTAACTTGACAATACACATGACACTAACTTGACAATGCGCATGACATTGTCAGATATCGCGAATTATTATTTGTGTATTATGTATTGTAGTTAGGATTTGGTTTTGAATTTGTAAGGATAAAAAATAAATATTTGTTTTGTGTACTGATCATGATGAAGAGAAAATTGGTGTTGT